ATTTATATATATATATATATATATATATATATATATATATATATGCTGCTTCCAAACTTGATTGATTAGCAGGATTGTGATCTCAATTTCATTAAAGTGGTAAAATATAACAATTCCCACCATATTTCTGATATTATCTATCAAACTAATCTGATTAATTTGATTGTTCCCTTTTATTCTAAAACCGTGAGTGCAGTGTGTGTGCAGCCCCGTTAGCATTCGTTAGCCGGTTAGCTTGTCATTCGTGTTTCCATTCGCGTCTGTTGCTGTTTTCTTTTCTCTCTCGCTCCGTTTTTTCACAAGTTCATCAAACAGCAGTGGTAAGTCAGATTCATTCATCAATCACGGTGAGTAATGCTTTCTTCTCCTGCTATTCTCTTGCTCCGTTTCTTTTCTCTTTCGCTCCGTTTTTTCACGAGTTCATCAAACAACAGTGGTAAGTCAGAATCATTCATCAATCACGGTGAATAATGGCTTCTTCTCCTGCTATTGTTATTTGCACCGCTTGCCACATGCATAGTTTAGCTCTCTCTGTCGGCGACGAGGGATTCACATGTGATAAATGCAGAGAAATAGTTAGGCTGACAGAGAAAATTTCAGAATTAGAGACACGCATCCAAACTTTCATTGAGGATAGTAAGAATGTGAGGGCTCTAGATACGACTTTGGATGCGACTAGCTCAGGGAGTCTTGTACATCGTTTGGTTCCGGTTACAATGCCTCTGCAGCAGGGCGACTGGGTGACATAGTCGTGGGTCGAAACACCACTCTTCCATTCCGATCAAAACATCAAACAGGTTCTCCCCACTCAGTGCATTATAACCTGTAGATGGCAGCAGAGGAGCACTTATAAGCTTATTAGTCATTCATTTATACTTTTTCATTGATATTTTGAAATTATCACTTAAGTTGTTGGTGAGTTTCATATAAGATTAAATGGTACATTTATTAAGAGTACAATATATACCTTTTCTACATAAAAATTATATTTTGCATGTTACTGTTGCTAAACCTGACATGATGAAAAGAGATGGTCTTTATCCCTCCTGGGGTGGTGCCGCTCTTCTCTCTAGAAATATGGCACATAGTCTTAGAGTTTGCACCTGACTAACGGGCCCAGGTCAGGAAGCAGACAGACTGGCTAAATTTATAACAATATTTTCAGTATTTCTCAGAGGGGACGGGCTTCAAGTATAACTCGTTTGAAGTAATGGTGCTTCATATAACATTATCCAGAGAAACAAGTTTTAAAGGGGTCATATGATGTTGCTAAAAAGAACATTATTTTGTGTATTTGGTGTAATGAAATGTGTTT